ATGCCGAAAGCCCGTTTCGGGCCGGTGGCGACAGGTCTGTGGGCTCAAGTGGTCTCCATCAGGACGACAATTGGCGAGTGGAGGCAACGATAATGTTATTCACATATGGGACAGGTCTATGGTCTCTACAAATTCACCGACCCATTGGCTTCACAGGTTTGAGGAGCATAGAGCTGTTGTGAAGGCACTAGCATGGTGTCCCTTCCAGGTGAATCTACTAGCTTCTGGTGGAGGTGGGGGTGATCACTGCATTAAGTTCTGGAACGCCCATACAGGGGCTTGCTTGAACTCTGTTGACACAGGCTCGCAGGTGTGCGCTTTGCTATGGAACAAGAATGAGCATGAGTTGCTTAGCTCGCATGGTTTCACCCACAACCAGCTCTCTCTTTGGAAATACCCTTCAATGGTGAAGATGGCAGAGCTCAAGGGCCATACCTCCAGGGTGTTGTTCATGGCGCAAAGTCCAGATGGGTGTACTATGGCCCCTACAGCAGGGGATGAGACGCTGAGATTTTCGAATGTTTTTGGAACGCCACAAGCTTCCAAACTAGCGCCTAAAGCTGACACTAAGCCCTTTGCTCATACGAACCGTATTCGTTGAATATGCATGTAGAATTTCTGCGAGCCCGAGACTGTGAGTTGTGCAGATATTCTAGACATTGTATTAATTTTTTTTATTTTTTAACTTTCAATATTACCTTGAGCATTTTTTTGTACACATTATTTCTATCATGTTGTATTTCTAATTATGACTACCAGCAATAAGTATTTTTTCCATAATTTTTTTCCTACCTAGATAAGATGTCACTGTAATGGTGAAACTAGCAGACTTGCAAATAGTAATTTTCTGACTCTAATGAAGGGGATGAATGTATTTTTTTACTTATTAATTATAAATCAATTTTTCTTCCTTGACAATCACTTCCAATTTCAGTTTTATTAGACATATGTTAATCATAAGTTTATAGGCGTTTTCATTCCTGAATTACTATTTGCTTTACTACCTTGTCATTGTATTGTCACTTAGTTATTTTCTGATATCTAATACAGAACATATCTCAAAATTCAAATCCTCATTTTATAATCTATATTAACTTTTGATATGAAATATTGTTAAACAGTTCTACTCTCAATGATATAATTTTTTTCCTCCTTTCTCAATTCATGTCCAGAAAATAGCAGAGATGGCTCATTCACATGGTGCTCTTGTGTTAGTTGACAATAGTATAATGTCACCTGTATTGTCCCGGCCACTAGAACTTGGAGCAGGTATAAGTTTTTGTAAGCTAACGAGTATATAAATAGATTTACTTACTTTTAAAACTAAAACTTGCTTGCTAACAGTGAAAAATTGAAGGTAGATTTTGAGGGGTGAAATATTGAGAATCATTTCCAATTCCTCAGTGAAAAAAAGTGCAATATACTTCATCATTGGTACTGATTTTTGTGCATTTAAGTCTCATATCAAATTATACAAATGGGAAAGTTACATATCATTTTGATTGGTTGCTTAACATTATATTTTCACTGCAATGTATACACCATTTTCATTTGAGTAGAAATATTTGTGAAGGGTATAATGAAATATTTTCACTGCAATGTATACACCATTTTATCTCTACTATATTTTAATGTATAAAGGAAATTATTAAGAACATCTAAACATGCCTAATTCTACCCAAAGTATACCCTGACTAGAACATTTTTGCTCCAGATATTGTCATGCACTCAACTACAAAATTTATTGCTGGTCATAGTGACATTATGGCTGGTGTGCTTGCTGTGAAGGGTGAAAGGTAGTTGCTGTTTTAATGTTTTTCTCAATTATTCAGATATTAAAAATATGAATTTTTTGTTGTTGTTGTCATTTGAACTTGTCAGTCAATATTTCATTTATAGTGATGCTGTGATTTCAATTTAATTGAACAACATCTTTTTATTTATATTTTATGAATAGATGCTTTTGTCTGTTAATATATTAAATGAATCCGTAAATTTTGATAAGCCCTTCTACAATATTGATTGATGCATATTTGAATTGTTTGAATAAATTGTTTTTGTAAGATATTTTGTGAAAAATTCCATTAACTTGATTTTAACTCAAAGGTTATTATGATTTGTGGTTACACTTCAGTTGGGAATGATAATTATTTTGTCTAGAGCTATATATATGTTCATTACAGGTAATCATAAATAATTCAAAAATAAGCATGATTTTTTTTTAAATGCAATCAACATTGGTTTTTCAGAGAATCGATGTAGATTTATGCTTAAATCTACATCGATTTTTCAGAACCGATGTAAAAATGTATATATTTTCTACGTCGCTCTATTCTACATCGGTTTTAGAACTGATGTAGATGCCTTTAGAGAACCAATGTAGAATATACATCTTGTAGTAGTGTTTCCATCATCGCATCTGTCAAGTTTTTACTACTTTACTATTTTTTGAAAGTGCAAGCTTTTGATGTACACTATTCAACCCCCTTCTAGTGTGTATCTTTTCTCTAACAATTGGTATCAGAGCTCAACCTTTGATGGGGTTGAGCATCTAACAGTGCTAAAGGAAAAAAATGTAGAATGGGAAATAGTGAAGGATAATATTTCCAAAAGGAGCTCTCTTACAAGGCCTCTAGCCTTTAATGGAGTGTAGACATCCAATTTCATCCAGGGTATCCAAAATAAGGCAAGAAGACTTTGATGGCCCAACACGACATCGGATTGGACTTGAACAAATGTCAATAGGCCTAGAAGCACAAAAGGTTGAAAAGGAGCCTGTAACGGGCAATTCTAATTTACTAAAAAGGTCTAAAAATCCTAGATCAAAATGGGCCATTCAGGGGTCCATAACAACCTGTTTTGGCCTAGGTTGTTACAAGAAATATGAATCCACAATAGGCCATTCCAAATTCAAATTTTGGCCATTAAATAGTAGTTTAGAACACCCCATTCTAATGACCAGAACGACCGTTCCAATCAGACTTGACGTCTATAAATAAGACATCTCATGCATGGTGCCAGGGGCAGGAAAATGGAGCAAAAATCGCTTACTAGAGTCTTAGATAAATAAAAATCTTCTATTTCCCATCTCTTTGTATTTCTTGAGAATTGTAGTGTGTAAGGCAGTCAAAAAGCGCCTTAGATCTATCATATTGGAAGCACTTTATAAAAGTTCATTCAAGAGATATTTCTATCAATTTTCTTCTATACCATTTTATTATTTCTGTTATAAAACATCACTATAAATAAAAAAAAACCATGTAGACATCTTAGGATTAATCGTGTAATTTTAAATCAAGCAAGTAAATTAAACTATTATTCACTATCGCGCTAATTTCATCATAGGGTACTGATTTAGGGCATTGTAGGGTGCCTATCCCTACACATAACCAACCCCAAGCCCAATTTTGGCTATGAAGGCCATTTTCGATATTTTTGAAAATCTTTTCATTTTCTCAATGTTTTGAGTAAAATATCCGTGGTGACTTCTTTGAAATATTTTCATAAACCATTGATTATAGATTAGTCTAGTCTCTAGCATTCCCTAACCAATGAGATTTTCAAAAAGGAAGACTCCATTTGTGGGTAAGATCGGAATTTTCCAGGTTTCGACATGGAGAAGACTACCCCTATTGGAAGGATACGATGGAGATGTTCATCAAACCCACTTAGTACCAACTTTAGAGGATTATCACCCAAGATGATTGTCAGAACTTGGAAGATTTCGATCTTGCCCACAGATGGTTTAGACTTCTATTTTGAAAATCTCATCGATTAGGGAATGCCCGGAGACCGAACTAATCCATAAAGAATGTTTTTTTAAAAGGTTTGAAGGATTTGCCACCGATGTTTTACTCAAAATATCAGAAAAAAAAAGATTTTTAAAATGACCATAATGGCCTTCATAACCAAAATTGGGTTCGGGGGTTGATTACATATAAGTAAGTATTAGACACCCTACAACGCTCTAAATTGGTATCATATGATGAAATTAGTATAATAAAAGAATAATAGTTTGAATATTTATTCCATTTTTTAGTGGTTATTTACATGTTATTTTAAATTACGATTACTTATATTTATAAAAAAAGTATGGGGTTTAACTCCCACACATTTGAAAATGGTATGTCTACATGATTACTGTTTATCTATGGCAAAGTCTTGTGTATAAAGCAATTTAAATAAACGAGAGAGGGGAATTACTGAAAATACCTCTAAAGCGAGCTTTTATTGAATTCTTCCTTTAAATGTAGGGGCTAGGCGCTTTTTGACAACCTTTCACTCTACAAATAAATCACGAGCACTCAAGAAATACAAAAGATAGTGTAACACCCAATTTCGTCTGGGGTACCCAAATCAAGGACAAAGGTCTACTAGAGTGAGACAAACGACCCTTAAGGAGGAAACACGTTGGGTAGCATTTTTGTTCTTATAATATCTCTTGTTAGAGATCTAATTTTTACGATCCAACCATTAAAGTTAAGATCAACGTATTAAGAAGTTATCATCAAAATTTCAGCATGATCAAACGGTTATCAAATTCTCTAGAGGTCTCGCACTACAGTTGGAAAGAGTAGCATGTATGACCCTTTAGGGCCCAATAGAACACCTAAACGGGCCAAGATAGCTCTAGAAGGCCCAAAAAACCCAAAAACACTAATTTGGAGCATGGAACAGCCGTTTCCAAATTGGAAAGGGCCATTCCCAGTGTTGGAACGACTCATTTCAAAACTAGAACGTCTGTTTCCCTTTCCAGAAAATTTTATGTTGGGCAGTGTTTTTATTCTAATAATATCTCTCGCTAAAGACATTAATTTGATAATCCAACCATTGAAGTTCAAGATCAATGTATTAAAAGGATATCATCAAATTTTCAATATGATCCAACGATTAATGAATTCTCTAAAGACCTTGCATTACAGATGGAAAATAGGAGTCTTATACCATATAGCATTTTTGCTATGATAGTAACTCTCACTACAGGCCTAATTTTAACGATCCAACCATTGAAATTGAAGATCAATATATTGTGAGCATACTTTAAAGAAACCAGCATGATCTGACGGTTAACAATTTCTCTAGAGGTCATGTATGGTGCCTAGAAAAAGATTATATTTTTATAAAATTTAATCTCACATCAGATAGCTCTCTTATGCTTCTACCTCATAGTTGGCTATATAAGAAACCCTCTGGTCAAGAGATTAGGGGATAGACTAGAAGCTGCATAGCTTCTCCCCTTCCTACTCTGAGTGATAGTGAGGATTATGTAGAGCGAAAGACTGTCAAAATGCACCCAACACGCATTTAGAAAGATTCTATAATAAAAGACTTACTTCGAAGGTTCTAAATCCTTTTATTTTATTTATTTATTTTATTTATTATTTTGTTTATTTATTATTTAATTTATTTGTTTATTTATTATTTTATTTATAATTCTTATATGTAAATAAATAATCATGTAGATAATAGGTATTTTTCATCATGTAAAAATATTAAATAATAAAAGGGGATAAAATATTTAAATTATTATTTATTATTATGTTAATATCATCATAGGGTACCAATTTAAGGTGTTATATGGTGCCTAACACCTTCCTTACATGTAACTGACTTTCGAACCCAATTTTGGTTATGAAGACCTTTATTGCAATTTCAAAATCTTTTCTTTTTTTCGATGTTTTGAGTAAAATATCGGTGGCGAATCTTTTGAACCTTT